GTACTGTTCGTGAATCATAGCTCCATCTGTTAAGGGGTTCTTGGCCACAAGGGCTGCAGTAACTGGAAAGCTCATTTCAAAACAATAGGAAAGGTGCTGGGAATTTCATGCCCTTGTAGTTCTCTTGCCTCCTGTGTTTTGCTCCATCTCAGAGTTTCTGTTCGCAGGCCAGGTTGCTGTGTGCCTCATAGGGAAATACACCTCCATCTCCTACCCGCAGATGTACAGTGGGTCACGTTCCATGGCTTAGTGTCCAGTACCTCTCCAGTTACATCCACATACACAGCCAAGACCTCCTGTTTCTTTAGTTGATCCTACCCACACTTCACATGGGCTGGTTTTGGCCTTTCAGGCACATGATACTTGAGCTTTGTCTGCTGTTACCTCATCCAGATGGGGAAGAGCCCAGTGCTTCAGGTGGAACCCCAGCACCCTGCCCTGAGATAGAGTGATTGACGGAATGGACTGTGTAGCCGATGCGGCAGTAGCAGCAGGCAGACAGATTGCTATGTCCAACAGGTCCTTTCCTGAAAAACAGGTTGAGCAGCTGGAGGGTTATGTGCAGGCTTCAGGCAGGCAGTGCTCAGAAGTGGTTGGGTGATCATGCAGACAAGGCTGGGTCTCACTTTACTGAGGCTCTACGTAGGATATTAATTGGCTTGCCACCTTCTTGAATATGACCCTAAGCATGGCCTTAGCATGTTACGGATGCAGTAAAGGGATAATGGCCACCAGGACACTTTGACCTGAGCCTCATGTTCTCTTTTTGCAAGGGGAGGCTTCCCTTTATATAGTGTGCATCCTTGGATCAAAGCCATAGAAAGTTCATTTCTAATGCTGGAGATGAAACGCCTTAGAGGACTGCCTCCCCAGGGCAAGGCCTGATGGCAGCAGACCAGGCCATTTGTCCAGGAGGCCCGTGACGAGTGTGTTCTCTCTACAGGCCCCGGCGTGGTCAGCGAGGTGAGCAACGGCACGTTGAGGAGGGCGGGCTGCATCTGGCTGCTCCCTCTTCTGGTCTTGCACCTGCTCCTCAAATTTTGATGTGAGTGTCACTTCCCCACCGGGGACAGCTGCCGCCCCCGCACCACCGACACAACAGCAACGGCAACACCGACAGCAACAAATACGACATGTTCCAACGAAATTCGGAGACACAAAGCCTAATGGGACAGAAATTCGAGGGAGGGGAACCAAGAATACTTTGGGGGAAAAAAAGAGTCTAAAAAAGGAAATTGAAAATTGCCTTGCAGAGATTTAGTCACAGCTGAGTTTTCTTTCCTTTCCCAAATGGGAAGAACGCACACCTGGCGTGGACCAACCCGCAAGCTGCATTGTGTGACCTCTGATGCCAGCGTGGGCGAGGGCTCCGCCACCTGCCCACTGAAGTGCCCCCACCACGGAACATTCTTAAGTCATCCATCCCAAATACAATCAGTCAATAGAGATGAACACAGAGTGAGACGTGTGGGCCCAGAGGTGCCACTGCAGGCCCTCGGTAGACTGTGCCACCATTGTGTGTGTTATGAGATGTGAAAGTAAAAAGTACAGCAAGAAAAAGGAAACAAAACAGGACAGCCCAACAGCAACAACAATCCCACATGACAGTCACAAAAGATATTGTTACACTTCTTTTTTTTTTTTTTTTCGTTTTACTACATGGACATCATGGATAATAAGGGATTCTGATTCATTATTAATTTTATCTTCTTTTTTTTTTTTTTTTCGTTTTACTACATGGACATCATGGATAATAAGGGATTCTGATTCATTATTAATTTTATTAATTATATTTTCTGATATGAGTCTAGAACTTAGTGCAAAAACAAGACAAAACTAAAAAACACAAATGAAAGGGGTGAAGAGAAGTATGTTTGTTAAACATTAAAAATGCATAGTGTACTTCTTAACTGGGTTTACAACTGGTGGACCACACACCGGGCATTAACCGCCGGGTGAGGATCTGGCATTTCCACCAGACGGTACATCCAATTTAACTGGCATCTCCACCAGCACGACGGTAGCTCCCTGTTCTGGCATTTCATGCAGACGGTCCTGTGCTATCACATGCTGTCTAGAGATGGAAAGGTGATCTGCACTGTGTCTTGGGTTTGCTGGCTATGCTTCTTTTGATGACATATATTATACAGTATATATATACATATATTTTTTTTGTTAGAGTTCTAGCCATTTTATTTCTCAGCAGGGTCCTCTCTCAGACATTACTGCATGCTGTATATGGCGTTAGCTGTGTGTTGATCTAAAAGATGATAGAGTTTACTGGTAATTGTGTAATCAGCTCCTGCCTTTTTATTTTCTTGGGTTATTTACATGTCAGAGACATTTATAAAAAGTGAAAAAGAAAAAAAAAAAAACTAATACCAGGCGCAGCGTCTTTCCAGGTGTGGCTCTCCGAGCGCAAGGCCGTGCCACCGGCCAGGCCTCCCCAGCACGCCCCGCGCATTAACAGACAGCAAGCGACTGAACAGACTAAACCGTCAGTAACACTTGCTTTAGCCCATTGTGGGAATCTCTGATGCCTTTGTGACCACTGGAGAATTTAATCCTCTTGGTTTATTTTATTTAATTTCCCACCTTTGTGTGAGTGTGTATGAAAGAGAAGAAAACGCAGTTTTTAGGTAACCTTTTCTTTCCTCCCCTGAAGTCTGGGAACCAGAGAGGGCTCGGGGAGGGTCCTGGATGTGATGAGGGAAAGTGGGATTGGGGGATAGGGGAGGGAGGGGTTGTCTCTGACTTGACATTAAAAAGTGTTCCGTGTCCCTCTCACCTGGTGTGGCACTCCTTCTGCAGTGGGAGACGGAGGGGAACGGAGCCTCCTGGCTCAGGTTTGAAGAACAGGGAGGGGGACGGACCGTAGACCCCTCCTGGGTGGCGCGTCTTTCTGCGGGAGTGATCTGATGACAAACAGCAGGGTCATCCTTCCCACAGAAGCAAGATCGGGTGGGTCCGATCGGGGCTGCATCTTCAATGTCTGCAGGAGGCCCTGGCTGCGGCCACCGGTGTCCTGCTTGTGTTCCAGACAGCTTACCGCATAATGTGGGAAAAATGAAAAGTCCAGGTAGGGAGAAGGCTTTTAGGTCTGATTATTTCTGGAAGGCAGTAAAGCTTGAAACACTGTGGCATTAAATAATCCCAATCCCAAATCCCATCGACCAGAGTTTTGGAGACTCTTCCCTTCATACCTGCACCCTGCGAACCTCACCACTAGCCACAAATTAAGAGGAAAGGTAAATTTAAATACAAAATAATATTCACATGATTCTAACCTGGTCTGATTGATTCTGGGAATTAAATAAGTAGCTGAAGATTCATTGAGCAACAGAAAAGAAGTCCGATCACTGTACATGAGTCTTCAGGGGTCAGTTCCACCTGGGAGGAGACAGGAGCATTTGGAAAGGAAAAATGTCATTTCCCACTGGTACCAGCGAAACTGAGAAAAGATTATTGACTTCACCTTTCTGTGTACCCTTCTGCCAGATACCCCAACTTCTTCCTGGCAACAGGGTCTGGAACAGTCTGGCCAAGCCTCGCAGATCTTGGCTGCACTGGTGTCACCCCTCCGTGTGTTTCTGAACTGCTGAAGGTGGGGGGCTCTAGGTCGCTAGAATGAAAGTGAATAGGCGAGATTAACTAGCTCTCACATGTGCAGCACTTCTGTAGACACTGGCCAAAGGATTTCGATGCATATCATGGCTTACTGGAATAGAGTAGGTAAAAAAAAAAAAGCAAAAGAAAAACAGGTTAATTTTCCTAAACTGGAGACCAGAAACACCTCTAAATAAACTGCCAAGGCACCTGCAAAAGAGGCACTTCCTCGGTTTTGCTGGGCCACGAGAGCACAGTGCACACAACCTCTGTTTGGATAGGAGCATTCTCTTTCAAATCTATAACTAGTAGATATCTAATAGACTGCTATTGGCAAACATTGGTAATATCCACGACTACTAATCATTCTTCAGGTCACTCTTATCACCATCCTCTCAGGAGTGAGTGGTCAGTCAGGGACAACTTCGTAAAGCGTCATTGATGAGTAAGACTTAACTGTACCTGTTTGCCAGCTCAATAATCCCCCTCGCCTCACGGTCCCTGGAGCTTTGGCTATGCAAGAGCACGTTCTTTGTAGAACCAGCTTTAGTACGACTGATGGCTCTCCAGATAGGAGACCTCCCTGTCCTGCCTCAGGAGGGTTTCCTCTCATCTTCTGCTTGGTGTGTCATATAGGACACACGCTGCTGGGTTTCAGTCTTCTGTGGGTACCCAGATTTAGAGTTCAATCCAGGAGGACATGGCTTTTATAGGAGTTTACAGGGACAATTCTTAGGCGTACCTCTTCTGGAAGCAGGAGCTTGGCAAGAGAATGAGTAAAGAAAATCAACCTTAGTAGAGCCTGTAGTAGGTTTTCCTAGGTACGAGCACTTGCTGCAGGCTGGCCTGGATTCCAAATGCACCGGACCCCTCATGACTCGGACAAGTCACGGCCATACTTTAGGATTCCTCTACTGCCCTGCCCCCAACATCAGGATTTCCCTCGGGGGAACCATCGTTTAGGATTGGCAGATTTCTATCCCATGATAGTCCCTTCTGTGTGCAGAGAATTTGTAGGGCATGTACAATCCTTAACCCCTCTAACCAAACAGTCCTAGAGAATTCCATTTATTTTCTTTCAACAGAATATCTGCTCCTTTCCAGCCATGCCAATATGCGATGGCTCTCCAGATCCTGCCACAGAACCTTTCCCCACCAATTCTTCTTCACAATGGTCCGATGTCTAACTTGAAGTGTTGGGAGTGCTTGTCTGGGGACACTCCAGTCAGTAGGATGTACCGAGCATGTTTGTAGTCGACGATCCACAAATGTTCTTTTTGTTGCTGTGGATGGTGCTGATGAATGGCAGTTATTTTTCTTCCAGCGAGGGATAAGTCAGCAAATGAATTAACACCAAGATCTGATTGAGGTTCAGTACGTTCCACTGGAATGACCCCCTCTTTATCTTAAATCTCCTGAACCATGAGATTAGACGGGAAGACAGTAGCACTCATCAGTCATAGGAATCTACTGTATGGAATTTTTTTTTTTATTGAAACTTGTAAAATGTGGGTTCAGCAACACATTTGTAAGGATTTTCTATTCTTGCAATGGTAAACATTTGAGGTACTTCTCACTAAAGGAGAAGAACACATGCACAAGGAGGGATGTGGAAAACTAGAAGTCCCTGCTCATGAGGCGCCCTCAGGCCATTGTGTCACTACTGGCCAAGCGTACACATACCAACCGTTACCCTTCACTGGATGAGCAACTCAAAATAACTGAGATTAGTGGTATCTCATAGAGCAACTAAGTGCTATCGCTTTTCAGCATTTTTAAAAAATTTTATACCAAATCCCAGAGCTAATTTGGCTCTGAACTTGCTCATTGGAGTTTGATTACATGGTACTGTCTCCTTTGTTGTCCCACAACTGCTCAATCAAGCCATTCTCCAAGCATTAATTCTTACCTCTCTGTTCTTAATTCAAACACTGTTTTCATGAGTGTCCAACTCTATCCTCCTCCAAAGCAATAAATGCAAGTTATTATCCCCATGGTTTGTGAACAACTGAGCTCTCTGAGTCTGTGTCTTCATTCAGATCTCCCTGTTCCCCACAGCTCCGTATGTCTCCCATTGTACCCATGCCATGTGATTAGAACCACACAGCTGTTTGTAGAAAAGACTCCCTAATTTCTGAGCTCAAGTTAAGATCAGTTCTTACAACTTATGTCTCATGCATTTTGACACATTATCTTTTATGAAGGTGACCCAGTTTGGCTTTAGTTTTTTGAATGTTGATTTTACTCCCATGGAAGCCTCCAAATAACTTGGATATTGTCTTCTGGCATATAGTGAAAGTCTATGAGTTTATCTGTATATTTTGGGGATTGTCACCATTATTTGAATATATTATTCCTCTACTTGTATACCTATTTGATTAGGACTTCCTATAGTGACCGTAGTACTCACGTTTCTCCCAGTGAATCTTTGATTCTGGAATTTTTGAGTATCAGTGCTACATTTCATATACAGAACTGAATTGCTAATCAGTAGAACTTGTCTCTAGTCCAGATTATATCACTCACTAGTTGGGTTCCCTTTTCTTATCTATTATATAAGATGGTATGATGGAAGATTGCTTATATTCCATCTATCCTTAAAATTCAATAATCAAGTGATTTTAGGTTTTATAAAATTTCTGCAGGAAAATTTTGGGAGAACAGCATTTTTGAGAAATGAAATTTGAAGGTGTGAATCTGGGCAAGTTCTATAACCCATGCAGGGTTTTATTTCCAGAATGGCTCATAAGAAAGGAAAATGCATAATCATAGCTGCCATTTCTGCAGGCACTTGAAGTGACTCCTTAAGAAGAACTTGAGAGACAGATACTGCAGCATTTGGAAAGAATCATTGCTTAAAAGACAGTGGCTTTTTCTGGAATGGGAAATGATGTTAGCCCCAAGCTGCCTTCTATATGACACAAGTAGAACAAGAGAGAA